TTATTGATGTGACGGCCTAGGGTGGGTCGTTACATGTTAAGCTACATCTAGGTACATAATGAGAATGTGCAACCTAGGTGCCCTTCCACTTGGGCCAATGCTCACCTAAACCCACTATGGCCTCCAATCTACTATATTCTTCCTGTGACTTGGAGGACCAAGACAATTATGATGGGGTGGACATTGTTACACCTCCAAACACTAGGCCTATAAGAAAGACCCAAAAGCCCCTCAAATTCCAAGATTATGTATGAAGCCCAATAGTAATTTTTAAATGTTTCCTTCTTTTCCTAAATTCTCAGCTAGCCCAATTTATATTGTAACCTAGCTCTAGGGTTACGAGTATTTAAGAAAAGAGATGTATGAGATAGCCATGAATGAAAATTTTCTCAGTTTTATATTTCTTCATTTTGTACTGAGTATGTTGCTTTCCCTCAACTGAAACATTTTGTACTGAGTTGTGTGGAAGAAAAATTTGTATTGTTGCTAAGATATGACTAAGATGCACGGAGAGTCAGAAGATTAGGGTAAGGGTTTTTCGATACGTTTTCTTTTGGCATTGAATCTTCCTAGATAGTGGATGATACATATTATTTTCTTAATTTTATAATTTGTTTTCTAATAATATTGTGTCGATATGTGAAGCAGAAAAATGAAGTAGACAATTTCATCTCTAATTTTTGAAGTTGGGTCAGCATGAAGTAGAAAAAAAATATATGACCTATGTGGTATGCATCAAGTATAAAAAAAAAATGACCTATGAGGTATAATATTTTCTTTTTGTAATTGCACAAAAATGGTGATTTGATGAATATTATGCTTAATAGATTTTGTTCTTCCGTGTTTAAATTTCTGAGTTTTCAAATTTCAATCAGGAAAGACTAATTTTTCTTTTCTTCTTTTATTGTTTTAATGGAAGAAAGGTGTGTTGAATCCAAAAACAATCACCGATACAAGAGGAAATGGTACAAAGGGTGTATTTTGTGCAGTTGGGTCACTAATATTGGTTTTTGGAACTTTTATACACAAAGTTTTAGTGATTAAGTGTTATTATGATTAAAATGCTCTGTTGAACTGCTTTTTTTTTAATCAATAATCATGTGTTATTTATCAATCTTTCTTTCCTTTCCATTTTTAGTAATTAAGGAGTTAAAACCAGTACATCCTAAATCTTACATATTTTCTGCTACATTTTCTCCTTTTGTGAATCTCTCCCAGATATTGGATGATACATGTTATTTTCTCTATAGGGAAATATGTAAATTTCTTCTCTCTCCTAATATGGTTTTTGACTGTGATACATTGACCATTAATTTTTTTAACTCTTTAAGATAAAGGGGTTCTTTACTGCAGGTTGTAAAACAGTTATGTTATTCATTATATAATATATGCTGCAGGTTGACTACTTACGCATTTTATTTGGTAAGTATAAGATCTTCTTTGGTGTCCTAGGAAAGAAATTTTATGAGTAGTGTTCCATAGCAACAAATATGATTATTATAGAATGTATTGTACTTTCATATATGAAGTGAAGACCTGGAGCTTTTTGCCTTTCTATATGTTTTACTTTGTTGATAAGTTGGTAGACAACACTATTTAGTATTCTTGATAAGTTTATCACATTTCAATCTTTCGAATGAGTTAAATATTGGAATTTGCAGAGAGTTTTAATGCTGGAAGTAGAACTATAATTGTTGTTGTAAGAATTTATTTATTTGTTGTTGTAATTTAGAAAAGTACTTCTGTATTGCACCTATTGATTATTTCATTTGAGCTTAAAGTTACTTTGTCATTAGAATTTTTTGAGACTCCATAAGTGGTATGGATAGCACCAAAGTTAATGCAACATATGATTATAATAAAATTGTACTTTTAAAATTAATTGTAATTCAAATATATTTGTTTTTACTTTCGCTTTTTTTTTACTTAAATTGAATGTTATTTTATTTAGCATAAAAAATATTTAAACAAATATAACAAATGGGGATGAATATTTTTCATGAAATAATGAAGAGAAATTTATACGTGATAATGTAGGACAAACAATTTAGCGTAAATCACCTTAAATTTCGAATTGATTGAAAATACTATGCTTTATATAATTTATTACTTTTTAATTATTGTTATAATAATTTTAATACAATTTATTTATTTCTTACTATCTTCTAACGTGACTAACTTGACCGAAACTAAAGTTAAATGAAATATTTTGATTTAATTTTAACATGACTTACATAACAAAAATAAAATTAAAATTATGTAATCGTTATTATAAGTCCATGCAAAATTAGTGTTTAGAATTAAGTTTTAGACAAATCATTACTCTTTTATTATATTATTTTCTCATATAAATAAATTATTCAGTATTTTATTTTACAAGAAAAAATTAATTTATTTGTTATGTATATGTCGATTTATTAAAAAATAAATTATATATAAAATATAATAAGTAGAATAGACACATTTTTATATATATAAAAGCAAGTAAGAAATTTTCTACTTAATTCACGGGAAGAAAAAAATTGTTTGAAATCTCATTAAATCTAAATTATTATTGTAAAATTATACTTTTAAATAATTGTAATAACTGTAGTTCAATTGTATTTCCTTTTGCTTTATTTTTATTTAATGTTTCACTTTTTCAAAATAAAAAAATGAAAAAAATGTAACAATTGGAGATTAATATAATTTAATGAATAATGAAGAGAAATTTATACTTGACATATAGGACAAACAATTTAGCCTAAATCAAATTAATTTTTTTAACTAATTAGAAAACTTATACTTTAGTATTTCAGTTAATCACCTATATATACACTGCTAGTATAAAGTTTTTTTACATTGACAACCAATTATATACTTTTTCAAAATAAAAAAATGAAAAAAATGTAACAATTGGAGATTAATATAATTTAATGAATAATGAAGAGAAATTTATACTTGACATATAGGACAAACAATTTAGCCTAAATCAAATTAATTTTTTTAACTAATTAGAAAACTTATACTTTAGTATTTCAGTTAATCACCTATATATACACTGCTAGTATAAAGTTTTTTTACATTGACAACCAATTATATATCTTAATTGTGCCATGTCACTGTTAAAAGTAAATGTGTTTATAATGACATGGCACAATTAAGAGATATAATTGGTTGTTAGCGTAAATTTTTTTTTATATTAACAGTGTATAAGTGATTAACTCTTAGTATGCACTTTTATTTATTTATTATTATTGTTATAATAATTCAAAACAATTTGTTTTCTTTCTTGCTAACTTGACTAATTAAATCAATATTTTTGTTCTCTTGAGCAACTAATTTACATTTGATTAAATGTCAAAAAGTACAATTAAATTAAAATTTAATTGAATTATTTACATCATATTTAAATTGAATATAAATCATTATTTTACACACATTATATACAAAGAATTGAGCTACTTTTTTATTATATGATGAATAAATTTAATTGATTTAGGTGCATTGCACGAGTGTAAAATGTAGTATATAGATATTAAAGATTTATGGTAATTTATAGAAATTTGTAAAGTTGAAATGAGAGTACGCATACCCATGTTGAATAAGAGCGATGTGGCCCCTCCCTCCGTGGCGAAAATAGTCATGCATATTGCATACACATTACTTTTGGTATTCTGGCATGCCCTATTCCCTATATGCAATATATATATACTCTCTGCTACCAAAGCAAGGCCTTTCTAGTTCTACTCGCACTCTCTGACAGCCAAAATGATAAGCTGGAAAGACCTCTACACGGTCCTAACCGCAGTGGTCCCTCTGTACGTGGCCATGATCCTCGCCTACGGTTCCGTCCGCTGGTGGAAGATATTCTCGCCGGACCAGTGCTCCGGCATAAACCGCTTCGTGGCCATCTTCGCCGTGCCCCTCCTCTCCTTCCACTTCATCTCCACCAACAACCCCTACGCCATGAACTTCCGCTTCATCGCGGCGGACACGCTCCAGAAGATCATCATGCTCCTCGCCCTCGCCCTCTGGACCACCCTCACCAGAGCCGCCTCCCTCGAGTGGCTCATCACCGTCTTCTCCCTCTCCACGCTCCCCAACACGCTCGTCATGGGCATCCCCTTGCTCATCGCCATGTACGGAGACTACTCCGGCGCCCTCATGGTCCAGGTCGTCGTGCTCCAGTGCATCATCTGGTACACGCTCCTCCTCTTCCTCTTCGAGTACCGCGCCGCCAGGATCCTCATCACCGAACAGTTCCCCGAAACCGCCGCCTCCATCGTCTCCTTCAAGGTCGACTCCGACGTCGTCTCGCTCGACGGCCGGGACTTTCTCGAAACCGACGCCCAACTCGGCCACGACGGCAAGCTCCACGTCACCGTTAGGAAGTCCAACGCCTCGCGGAGGTCCTTCATGATGACCACCCCGAGGCCCTCTAACCTCACCGGGGCCGAGATTTACAGCCTCAGCTCCTCCCGTAACCCCACGCCACGTGCCTCCAACTTCAACCACAACGATTTCTTCTCCATGATGGGGTACCAGCCCCCGCCACCGCCACCGCCCCAGGCCCAGGCCCAGCCCCAGGCCCAGCCCCAGGCCCAGCCCCAGCCCCAGGCGCAGACGCGTCACTCCAACTTCACCGCCAATGATTTGTTTCCCTCCCGCGGGCCCACTCCCAGGCCCAGCAACTTCGAAGAGCCGCCAATGCCTCAGCCCGTGCCCGTCGCTTCCCCCAGGTTCGGGTTTTACCCAACCCAGACCGTGCCCGCTACGTACCCGCCGCCCAACCCGGAGTTCTCCTCCGCTCCTAAGACCCTCAAGAATCCGCAGGCTCCCACCAAGGGGCCCAACGACGCCAAGGAGCTACACATGTTTGTGTGGAGCTCCAGCGCCTCGCCGGTGTCGGAAAACGCCGGACTCAACGTCTTTGGTAGCACCGACCTCGGAAGCTCCGAACAACCCGAGCAGGGTGCCAAAGAGATTAGGATGTTGGTAGCTGATAATGCACACACACAAAATGGGGAAATCAACAACAAAGGTACCGATTAAACTTTTTTTTTTCTTTCCTTTTTGGGGTTTAAGTATGTTTTCTCTTACACTAATACCAGCCGCAACATCATAATTGTTACTATAATTGCAATCAAGTTAACTACATTCTGTAATAAATTTTACTAATTAACATCTTCTAATTAACCGGGTTGACTTTAATTGTATTTTTTTCGGAGAAGAAGAGTTGTGGGTAGAAACACTAAGATTTAGATTTAATTTCTATTGGGATAATTTTTCTATTTTTACATGTATAAATAAATTTTTTTTAGGAGTTATTTTAATAGAATATGTTTTGGGTTTCTGAATTTTCAAACAAAATCATATTGGTTCCTGCATTTTGAAAATGATATTTTTATAAAAAAAATTACGATCCTTTTTTTAAAAAAAATATAAAATAAAATACTTGAACTAATATCATTATTTTAAAAAATAATATTAAGACTAAAATTAAATAAAAGTATAGGATCTAATAAAACGCAATTTATTTTATTTTTTGTTTATAAAGTGGTCATAATGACAAGATTTGAGGTAAATTTTAGTTTATATGATGAGGAAAATGGTTTGGTGTTTTGATTGTGTAATGATTGGGTTAAATTGAAGGTGGTTTGGAGGCAGGAGTTGGTGGGGAAGAGTTAAAGTTTCCGGTGAATGGGGCTGATGAGGAAGTGGAGGAAGAGAAAGAGAGAGAGGGGTCGACGGCGGAGCTGCAGAGAAAATCGGGCGGAAAACACATGCCTCCGGCGAGTGTGATGACTCGTCTGATACTGATCATGGTGTGGAGGAAGCTTATCCGCAATCCGAACACGTACTCGAGCCTAATTGGTGTAGTATGGTCCCTCATTGCCTTCAGGTAGGTAAATCAAAGTCAACCAACGTTCGAAAATATTTTGACTACAATAACGGCAAAATCAGCCATGGCTACTTTCTCTCTCTTTTGGCCATTACTATTAGAGTAACGTAATTATTAGTGGCTATTGACACATGGTGTTGTTCATGGTTTATGATGACGTACAGGTGGCACGTGCATATGCCCAAAATAATAGAGAAATCAATTTCCATACTGTCTGATGCTGGTCTTGGAATGGCTATGTTCAGCTTAGGTGAGTGGTCGCAAATCCATTCTCCCAATTCATATTCTCCCGCAATAATTTCATTATTTTATCCACTAAAATATTGCTGCATTTTAAAATAAATATCAAATGCTTCCTCATTGGCATAGACAAACATTGTTTATTGGCTCCAGTTTTTAATAGATGTGGATTTGTTTGTACCAAGAAAAATAAAATGCATGCATGTGTCCATTTATTTATTTATTTCTGACCCAAATTAGAGAAACAGAATAAAAGTAATAAAAGTAAATAGTGTACATTGGAATAGCAAGTTTAATTTCAAATTGTTGTATGTGATACGTTGGTTGTATTCTATGATAATTTTCAAAATCATACTTGATAGTAGTATATTTTTTTTGGCTAGTTAATGATGTAAAAAATTTACATCGAGAATGCATAGAAATTAAATCTGAATATTAATGCAGTTCATGTTATTACTCCTTCTAAATTGTATTAATAATATACTTAAATATTTTTTTTTTTAATTTTTGTAAAATAAATGAGTTCTGATTTTATTTTTTGTAATTTTATTTTTAATTTTTCTTCCTCTAAAAGTTAAATTCGTTTCTTGTTCTTTTAATTTTTTTTTTGATACTTGTAAATTAATTTTTGTTCAATTTTTATGCATCCAAAATTTGAAATCACTAATTCTAATCTCTAGTGTTTATTTTAAAATAAATAAATAATATTTAACTTATATCCTAGAAATATTTTAGAAGTATAATATGTTATTATGATATAATATATTAGACACTATTAGGTGCCATCTAAAATGGTCACATGTTATTCTATTCAACATATAGGCAATTAACAAGTGTGGAATAATAGTAAAAATAAAAAATAATAGTTTTCATATTTATATGAGTAAAAACAATGTTTTTTTATAAAGACTAAAAGCTAAACTTGCTCATTACATGAAGTAAACAAATATTTAGTATAAAATAATAGAAAAAATTGCAGTAAATTAAATTTTGCAATCCAACATAATTGAGTAATGGGTGTGCCGCATGAATCAATGAAAAGCATGGACTTGGGGTAAAGAAAGTAGTAAACAATTGATAGCCGTCCATGCTGGTGATGTTTGTTACCAAGTAATAAACCAAAATGATCTTGTTCACTTGTTGAGCATAATGTCCCCGACACGTGGGGCCAGGGTCATAAACTAGGTCACTTTGCGGAGGACAAGGGTTCGGGTGAGGGGTACCATTTTGGATAATTAGGCAATGGTGGTTGAATTAGACGAATCAACAGGTACTAAAATACTTTTCTTTTTATTTTTTTTTATTATTTTTTTGTTTCGGGGTTTCTTTCCAAAGAATTATGCTGTTGGAATATAAACATGGATGCCCATTGTTTTGTGTCTTTCTTAATGCTCTTAAGTGAAAGATTGGGTTTGATTTTTGTTTTATAGGTCTGTTTATGGCACTTCAGCCCAAGATAATTGCATGTGGGAACTCTGTGGCTACGTTTGCCATGGCTATTAGATTCCTCACTGGCCCTGCCGTCATGGCTGCAGCTTCCATCGTGGTTGGCCTCCGTGGCACCCTCCTACACGTAGCCATTGTTCAGGTTATTAACTTCAACTTCTTCTCATGCATTTTCTTTTTTCTTTTTCTCAATAAAATAGGTGAATAGTGAAACGAATAGAATTGTGGTACATCATGCTTTTAAATGACAGTTATATGGTCACAAATGCGGTTGCTATTAATATATAAAATTGTAGTAGTTTTACTCATCATTTCCATTTTATTTGTCATTTTATAATTTTTATATCTCTCAATTTGATTGTTGTTTTAAAATATCAATGTAATATTAATTTTTTTTTCTATCATACACTTAACCATTTTTAATATATTTTTAATTAATTTGTTTTTTCTTTTTCAATATTTATTTATTGGTGAGAATTTAAAAGACTTAAGGATATATTAAAAAATACATAAAAAAATTATAAAAGGAGTCATAATAATTATGTATTCATATTCTTAAGTGTTATGGCAAAATTATAAACGTTAAATAAAATGAGACTAGAGGAATATTAATTACAGTGCAATTATTAAAATTGTGAGACTTTTGCACAGAACATTTATGTAATTTTTCAAGCTTTTTTTTTTCCAATTAAAATTAGATTTTTATCTAGATACCCATATATAATAAAAGAATTAAATACCAGTACAAGTTATTGAAGTGAAAATTTAAAATCTAATAAAACTAATACTAGAAACACATAAGAATTTGTATGTGAGTTTCTGTAAAAGAAAAAAAAAAACTGTATGTGGGTTTTATTTAAAATTGCAATATCGTCAGATTTGTTGACCCCAGTTTATTTAAAACCATAATAAGAATGTGTATCTTTGGTTTCTTAACTAATCATAAACATTAAATCCTCGTTAATCAACTAAACATTTAGGAATAGTGACAATGACAGTCAAAACACATCAAAATAATTTTCCAATAATGGATGGTCTAGTTTTTCACTTTGCTTTTGTTGGTGCCTAATGTTTTTATTATCTTTAATGGCAAGATTAGTTAACAACAAATAAGAAAAGACAGGTTGTTAACTTTTGAAAACTTTTGTGGTTGCAATAGGCTGCACTTCCTCAAGGGATTGTTCCATTTGTGTTTGCTAAGGAGTACAATGTCCATCCAGCCATTCTTAGTACAGCGTAAGCAGTCAAACTTGTTTATTTTCTTCAATGCATTCTTGTTGCCATAAAGAAACAGATTGACCCGTTTCAAAAAATTAAAGAAAGAAAGAAGAAATTCACCCCTTTTTTTTTTCCCCTAACATATTGAATTGCAGGGTCATATTTGGGATGTTGATAGCCCTTCCGATTACTCTGGTTTACTACATACTCCTTGGTTTGTAAAATTCCTATACCAAAGTAACCAATATTCCAGGGAAAATTAAGCACATGATTTCACCTTTGATGCAATTTGGAAGTTAGTAAGCATGAGTGGAGACCACAGTGGAGTACCCTATTGGACAAAAAATATCACTAACTAGTAATTTCACAACAGAGGATGCCATTCCAAGTTTCCAAAATTTTGGGGACTTATGAAGATTTGACCGATTGGGAGTCCTCCTAAAATTCGAACACCTCCTTGTTAAAAGTCCAAGATGATGTAATTTTCAAGGACCTCAAAGAGGAAGGCATAACAGAGGAATGCGCCAAGTCAATGATATCTAGAAATGGTTCCCTCTCTGTCAGATTTTGTAAATTTTATAGAAAATCCGGTTTGGTCATCATGTTAAAGCACAGTTTAGTAATTGAGGGAGGAAACAAAGTGAATGAGACGAGGAAGCCTTTCCTTTTAACGTTTTATTGCTTTTTACATTATTATTATTATTATTGTTATTATCATCATCAATCAACGAGGTTGAGACATTATGTGACTATTTATTTTTCATAAAAAAAAAAAAAATTTGAAGGTAATTGTGCGAGTAATGAAAAATTTTCATTTGAAATAAAAATGTAACTTACAATTACTTGAAGTGGTTAAAAGCATAAATGTGAAAACAAAAAACTTAGGTATAAATAAATTGATTTTTATTAGGAAGTTGTAAAGGATTAAATGGAGACCAAAAGTAATTAAGAGAGAAATATTTTCTTCATCTGATGTTCTTGTTGTTATTATAAAAGAGACACTTCGCATCTATGTATTTTGTTTATTTTAAAAAAGATAAGTGTTCTTACTAGAATTTGTAAATGCTACGTGTAGAAAGATTGATGCTCTTTGTACTTTGATGATGACAACAAGATGGACACCTACAAAGACACTCTAATGTTCTAATTAAAGGGAAATTTAAGTCAAGAGTCGAATTAGGGTTAGAATGATATTTGGTGTTCCATATATAGGTTATTGATCTTATCTTTAGGTTTGAAAATAATGTTGTATGATATCTTATAGATATGTTCTGGTGATTGTGTGGAGATATTGTTCTTGATAACTTGATCTTTAATGGGATCTGTAATTTTTGGAGATATGGCGTGGAAATTTCCCCTTAACCGTTGGAGATATAACTGCCTATGTTGTTTTCAGATTTAGCATGGTCGAGCTGATGAAGTTGCTCAGCCTGCCCAAGCTCACCATGAGCTTAGCTCGACTTAACCGAGATGGGAGATACATAACATTCCCATGTTTTGAGCTCTATGAGGAGTGAAAGAACTAGTAGTGAGCTCAATTTAACTTTTTGTTGAGCGGGTGATGGGGTTGTTGGTGTATGGCATACGCTTTGATGGTTTCTCGTGTGCTTTAATGAGTAATTAATGTTCTTTTGAGTCAGAAGATCTGAGTCATTTATGGAGGAGTAAGTTTGAATGTACGTCGTTGATTTTTAGAGGGTAAGTGGTGGTTATCTTTCTTTTCATTAAGAGGATGTTGTCTTGCTGACTGTGCATTTCACACCATTTCTTCACGGTTTCGTCTTGTTTAAGGAATCCATTATTTTCATTCATGCGTTATGTTTGAGACTTGCAAGATTTTAGGTACTTTTCTTCTTCTTTTTCTTCAATTTTATTTTGTGTGATGGGAAAAGGCACTCATTGATGCCTAGAGAGGTTATTCTAATTGGAGGAGATCCTCCTCGCCCTCCATTTGTGGTGTCGTTGATGGGGAGTGATTCTTTTGACACTACTATGAAGTTTCCCAATAAGGGTGCTTTATTGCCATTTATGAATGTATTATTGGCAAAATTAGCCAAGGGGCAACAATTGGTGGCATGGCTAGGTGGACCTTGGTGACCAGGCCTATAGTGGCTAGGACTGAGGAGGTCATGGAATTTAAGTCAAGGTATTCAAGCAATGATGATGGGTAAGGACCTTTAGGCAAAAAATGATGGAAACCACTTGGAGTAACCAAATTGATGTGGTTTCTCCTTGAAATTCCTTCATGGATCTTTTACTTCTTGACACTCCTCAAGCTTCTTCAAGGTCTCTAATGGAGGAAGAGACATCTGGTTTCTTCAAGTGGTGCCACTTCAAGGTAGAAGATAAACCACTTCAACTCTCACAACACTATTAGGAAGAGGATAAGAGAATTGAAAGCAAATCAAAGAGAGAATTTAGACTTTTGAGAGAGAAAATTCTAAGTAGAATACTCAACCAAATCTCATATAACATCCAAAAGTTCCTACAAAATGGACAAAACTACAATATATAGATTTTAGTTGGCTTATGGTGCAAGCTAAACTAACCATGGTTAAGTATAACCATGGTTAGCTATCTTGTACTTAATCTAACTAACTCAAGTTAAATATCTACAAGTTTAGTTAGTTGTCTATAAGCTTATGGAACAAGCTAAACTAATCATAAATTTAAGAATAATCTAGGTTAGCTTAAGTTAACTCCAACTACCTAACCTAATCATTACAACTACTAGACTAATGATTACTTTTAACAAGTTTGTTGATATGTCACTATCAAAGCCATGTGATTTAATTTGTAGCTTAGATGGTAAACTTGGCATGGTTTGAATGTCCAAACCACTTGCATGCGCAAGTGGATGTCCAAACCTATGGGCAATAAAAGAAAATTGAGTCATCCAAGCGCAAATAAGTCTAACAAGACATTACTAGTTACACCTCCCCTATTCTACTAATTACACCCTTAAGTAATATAAGGACAAAATTACCTACATTACTGACCCAAAATACAAGGCCAAAAATATCCTAATATAATCACTACTAAAATGAGTTTACAAATTGTATAACAACAATAGGAGTCATTTAAGGTAGGATAGGCCTCCAAAGGTAGGGTACCCTACAAAATAAAGGTAAATGCCCTACAACTCTTCAAACCAACTTTATAATCCTTCACCTTTCTTGGTCTTACCTCTTCCAAAGGAATCCTTGGGAAGTAAGTTTCCATCAAAGAGGGTTATAAGTGGGTGAAATGTGAAGTATACTTGTGTGATAGTCATTTGGTAGTGGCTTTGATGGATAGTTGCCTATACTTAATGCCTTCACAGGCACACTTGTTAGCCGCTTGATTTTGCACATTGGGCGATTGCATGAATTTGGGTGAGGAGATGCATTCTCACATATTTATGTACATATATTCTTGTCGGTCCTTTCTTTGTGGTATTGAACTTTGATGTAGTTTTTCTTTGTGTAGGCTTGCTAGGGAGAAACATGTGACTTAAGACTAAATTCAAAGTTGATAGTAGCGGCCAAAGGCTAGCCAGGGTTGAGACCAATAGTTGTAGTTGGAGCAACCAAAGAGGAGGTAGTGTCTTCATTAGTGCGCAAGAGGAAAAATCCTACCCTCTCAAGGACCATTGTTAGCCTCACCTATCAATCATATAAAAGAAAACCAGCTTGGAAGGGACAAGTAGAGTTGTGGGAGTTGCTACATTAAGATCTATGTTGCCACTTTCTAAGAGGTTGAGGACGGAGAGCTTGGCTCAAGGGTAGGAGGTGGAGAGGAAGGGGAAGTATGTTTGTAATGTTGTTACTTAGCAAAATGAAGAAATTAAGATGTTGCGGGCTTAGCTAGAAACTAACCATGCTAAGAAGGCCATATTAGCTATAGCGTGCACTCGCCTTGACAACAAGAAGAGAAAACTAATGGGTGAGAAGCAAGCTTGGTTAGGGGTGAGACAATCTTTAGAAAAGGAAAGTGGATGCCTTTATGACTAAGGTTTCTAAACTCATAACTAAGAGGGATGCACTTTTTGCAAGATCATGACAAGCTTGCTGATAAAGTGGATCTTTTGTCCTTGGAGCAAGGCTTGCTCCTAGTGGAAAGGAAGGACTTTCAAGTGAACTTGATGGCGATAGAGAAGGTTGTGTGTGTAGAGCATGCCAAGGTTTCCAAAAAGGCTATTCATCAATTGGCTTTCTTTGCTTTAGACTTTCTTGTGGTAAACTAAATGTTAATTCTGACATTATTGTTATGGAGCTTGTGAGTAAAGTTTATATCCTCGATGAGGATAAAGAAGAGGTTGAGGACACGACCGATAAAAAGGAAAAATCATTAGGTGTATAAGGTGGTTGAAGTTGTTAAGGGGTTGATTGCAATGAATAATGATGCTCTTATTTATTGTGATTAGGATACTAAAGGTTTTAGCTATTGTTGAGGAAGGTGTTGTTGTTACCAATCTTACTCTCAAACAAGTAGAAGGTGGTGGTGACGATGTTGCTAAGGATATCGAGGGAGCTTATTGGCAAATAGTAGACGAGTCTATTGTCTAAGGATGTTATTTTATGTTTGTTTGTGTCTAAATATTGTTGAATGTGTTGACTTTGATTTATGTTTGAAAAAGTACTTTAATCTTTGTTTTATGATAGTGTGTTTGTGTAATATTTTTTGTTATGAGATCTTTTTTTGACGACCATTTGGTTTTTGTTTGACAAGCTTGTGTAGCTTATACATTTATGGTTGTTAAGACATGAAAGCTCAGAAGCTTAACATTGTGTGGGTGAGAGATTGGAAGCTTGGAAACACCTAGGTCCGAGAGCTCGGGAGCTCAAAATCATGCACAAACTTGAAAGTTTGAAGTTGTAAAGGTGTGAGAGCTTGAAAGCTCAAGATCATGAAGGCCCGAGAGCTGACGAGCTCAACATCACACATGAACTTGGAAGTTTGTGGTTGTAAAGATGAAAAAGCTCGGAAGCTTAGGATCACAAAGGTGCGAGAGCTCAAGAGCTCAACATTGCACACATACCCAAAAATTCACAGTTCTAAAGGTGATAGAGCTTGGAAGCTCAAGATCACGAAGGCACAAGAGCTCAGGAGGTCTACATCTTTCACGAACTTAGAAGTTTGTATCGAAGCTTAGAATCATGAACAAACTCGGAAGTTCTTAGTCATTAAGGCGTGAGAGTTGGGAAACTCAAAATTATCCATGAAGTTAGAAGTTCGTAGTCATTAAGGCATGAGAGATTCAAAGTTTGTGGTCATTAAAGCATGAAAGCTTAGAAGCTTAGAATCGTGCACAAACTCGAAAGTTTGTAGTCAAGTTGTGATGTTGCATTGTGTGGTGTGACACCCTGTACCCCACATCCCATAATACATAAATAATAGATTAAACTAAATAATATGATCTTCATAAATAAACTAAATGTGTTCAGGTAGAAAATATCACATTTTTAACTTAACAAAATAAAATAATAAATGAAATTGTAAGGAAATAAAACTAATGTTTTCTAAATTAATTTAATAGAACAATATCCTAATTTAGTCCTAGCTACGCCCTGATGTCACATGTTCTATCAGGCAAAACCCAACACTGATGTCTAAGCCTCATCACCAATATCTTCAACTTTATGTTGATGGTTACCTACATAACAACCAAGGAAAAAAACAAGCAAAGAGAATGAGAAACATTTCACTCTAACTCATAATGCAAGAATGCAAATCAGATAGCCA